TGGAATAAAAAGAAAAAGAGATAAGTTTACCAAGTGAAAGTGGAGGGTTGAACAAGGGAAGCAACGGCCGTACAGGCGAAAACAAAAGGAACAGATCACCTTTCGTCGCACCACCGTCTGTTTTATTCCCGAACGGAAGCCTCTCCGACCCAACTCTTCGCACATACGGCGTCGTTGAGCAAGCGAACACCGACAACCTCCCTCCGTTACTTTTGCATACGTCGAAACCGTCCTCCCTCCGGCGCAAATTCAAACCAAACCTCGAATAACGACTACAACAAAACGGCGTCGCTGGCTTGGAAGAGACCGAGAGCTGCTTCGTTTTCGAAAAGAGAGTGCGCCGGCGGTGGGGACGGTGAGGTGAAGAAGGGGAGTAATCGATGCCATTGTAGCGAAAATTGTATGGAATCGGAGTTTCTTCACTCTTTTTGCCGGATCCGGTGGCCGGCCTGAGGTTTAGCGGTGGCGGGAATGAAATGGAAGGAGACGATGAAGATAAAATGATGGGTTGATTTATATATAAATATGTTTGTGTTCTTTTTGAGGGAAATTTTATGGTATGCTCATAGTATAGTTTAAATCGGTGTTCCTCGTTTCCATCCGTTGGTAATGGACGGTGACGATGAGGTCAGAACAAGTCAAGTCAAAGTTATTTTTTGTTATTTGCAATTGAGACCTTTACTGTAACACATTAGTCCGATATGTACTGATACCAGAGAAAAAATTGTAGGTCTACAAATATAGTACTGAGTATCTTAATTGAAATAAAGGGAGGTCCAAAATGAATTAAATGAAAAATTAAGCGGGAACTGTCAATAATTTGGTTGAATTAGAGGGGATAGAAAATAAATAATCCAATTATGATACCTCGGGAAACTTGTGGAATGTAATAATTGGTAGGGAGTGGGAATCTTCTGACACGTGTTAGAGAAATATTGGATTGGAGTTGGAAATCAGTTTGAACGAGGTTGCAGGATCGAGGCTCTGCATGTACATGTTAACTAACGTCACATCAGTTTGCAACGTGTTCTTCTGCTGTTTCGGTATCTTCCAGAAATATCCTCTAATACTTCGTTGGAATTTTCATAAAGATATATAAGGTTTTTTTAGGCTTAGTACAAAAGGTGTCCAAATTATATATATATTTAAGTGGTGTTTAGATTTTTTTGTCCATTTAAATATTTGACGTTATAAACTTTATTTTAGATGTTTCGACAGTAATAATCGTTAAAAATGTCTGTTAAAAAATATAAGAAGTGGAGCTCTTTTAGGGCCTAAATGGGCTCCAACCCCTATAAAATTATTTCATGTTTGATATATTTTGATTTAATAGTATTTTAGTTAATGTAAAATTAAGTATTTAAATTAAGAAATATAAGAATTTATTAGATATTTAATCAAGTAGGGGGTGAACTAAATAATGATAATCCAATACCAACAACATGTTGGTCTAGCGAGATGAGATACTAGATCTCTTGAGTAAGGTCAAGGGTTAGAATCTTGGCGATTGCGAATGGAACAAACTGGGTTGTGAGGGTCACACTCGTCTCTACAGTACATGATCCAAATTAGTCGACCAATAGATTGGAAATCGGTGGTTATACAAAAAACTGGAATGATAATTTAATGTTCTTAATTTTTTTTTCTCATAACAATTAATGTCATTATAAATTTAATTCTTAGATAAATTATGCATTGTTTTTTGAATTGTAAGTTTAAATATTTAATAAGTCAATGTATTTTTCTTAAAAAGTTTAATATTTCGACATCTGTCTATATTTAATTATGGCTTCACCCCTAGTAACACATGTTATATATTTTAGTAATTTCAAAATTTTTATTTAAAATATTTAAAATATTATTATATTAAATAAACCCTTAACTTTTTTTTTTATTTTAATCAAAATACCGATAATAATTTAAACTCTAATTTCTAAATCTCATAACCCTAATTTTCTATTTGGCCGATGATAAAGGGGTGCCCAAAAGTGGATTCTGACGATTGATGAGTGGCTTCAACGACGAGACAATGGCGGCCAATGGATGGTGTTGCGACGAGAGAAAAAAGCAAGGAAAAGAAAAGTGACGGTGGCCGGTGGAGTCAAGTTAAGAACATCAAAAATTTTAAATATTATGAAAGGAGTTTAATTAGGTTCCAACAAGGCTTACTTTTCAAGCACATAGATAACGATATTTGCAGGGTTTGGGAACTCCACTCATAAAGGATTTGGTTTATATTTTTTTTCTAAAAAATTAGGGTTTAACTAATATTTTTGAAAATTTAAGAGTCTTAAATGAATATTTGTAAATATTATGAGAGGAGTTTAATTAAGAATATAAAAAAAATTAAATTTTAATATGAATTTCTAAGAAAATTGAGAGGTCAAATTAATTTTTTTTTTAATTTTGAAGGGTCTAGATTATAATTTTTGAAATTTTGAAGGAAAATTCACCTTGTAAATTAGGAGGAGGTTTGCACCAATGTCAAGAAAGGAGGTCTTGGAGTAAGACATTTACGTTCGCAAAATGAATCACTTATTATGAAGCTTGGGTTCAAATTGATAGTTGAACGGGATATGTTATGGGTTCGTGTTTTGCGAGCTAAGTATAAAATGTTCGAAGTTTGCCCCCTGTCAATTGCAAAGGATGTTGTTCTCGTATTTGGAGAATTTTGGGATCTCTTTGGGAAGATATTCGTGAAGGAATTGTGTGGAGCCTTGGTGATGGTATGACCGCTGATTTTTTGTGAGATAATTGGCCAGGAGAGTTGGGTCCTTTAGATAAATCCGTAATGTCTTCGGGACAAGGCGCTCTTGCTCAATCTAGAGTTATCGATTGGGTGACTCCTATGGGAGATTGGGACTGGTCTGTATTAGAAGCGATCCTTCCGCCCAGGGTGTTGTCTTATATTGCAGCGGTTCCAACCCCGTTTCCGAATGGTGGCTGGGATAAACCTGGTTGGAAGTGGGAATCTAACCGTAAGTTTACGACGAAAAGTGCATATCAAAAGCGTATTTCTTTGAATTCGGAGCAAGCAATGATCTCGTGGGACTTCCTAACAAAGTATAAAGGACTCCCTCAGATCAAAATACTTTTGTGGTTGATTTGCAAAGGAAAATTACTCTCAAATGAAGAACGGGTCCTAAGGCATGTTGCAATGACGGCTAATTGTGGAATATGTGGTGCAAGTAATGAGTCGATATCGCATGTATTACGTGAGTGTCCTACAGCACAGGCAATTTGGCATAGGATTGTGCGTTTGGATCGATACAGGGAGTTTACGAACATGGAGCTCTTTTCATGGATCCAACATAATGTGACTCAGCCTGGACACTTCTCCAGTGATGAACATTGGGAGTTGAGGTTCGGGGCAATAGTCTAGAATCTATGGTCAAGGCGAAATAGCTTGATCTTTGATGAGGAGTTTGGTGTAGGCGAGAGCATCTTAGATCGAAGTAATAGGCTGGTCAATGAAATGTTGTTGGTGCAATCTTATCAATGCCCAAGACAGGTGCAGCGGGGTTCAAATAGTCGGAATGGTGAAGGGTGGCAAGCTCCCCGAGTGGTTGGATCAAGTTAAATTCGGATGGTGCACGGAATTTAAACTTCGGGACAGCTTCGTGTGGTGGTGTGCTTAGGGATGAAACTGGTAAATGAATTTTGGTTTGCCAAATTTATTGGAACCTGTTCGGTGCTCGATGTGGAGCTCTAGGGAATACTAGAGGGGCTCAAATTAGCATGGAATAAGCAAGTTACTGCTGTTATCTTCGAATCAGATAGTCAAGAAACGGTGACGACTTTGAATGACCGAGGTGGCCAAGGAGGGGGTTCCTCACTGTTATCTCACATTTTTTATGTACTGAAGTAGAACTGGAAAGTTATTTTCAAGCACATTACTCGAAACATCAACTCAATCGCTGATGGAACGGCCAAGATATCTGATAGCAATCGTTTGTAATTTTTAATTTGTTTCATCTTCTCATTCAAAAAAAAAAAAAACCCTCCGCTCCCCAAAACTTCACCCAGCAATATAACCACTATTCTCAACTCTTGCATTGGCTAAATGATTAACAACAAAATATTTCAAATAAAATTAAAAACATAAAAGTTTTAGGGTTCAAATCGATTACAATTAATTTTGCTTTTTTTAATTTATTAATTTAATTATATACGATACGATACGAGGATTATTAAAAGTAAATAAACCCTTGATCCAATATTTAAATGATATGAAAGATTTTAAAAGATTATATAAATTTTGATTTTTTTGGGGCTAACAGTTTCATAAATAGTCAGAGTAAGAGAACACCTTTCTTTGGTCCAAGGATTAAACAACTATATTTTTTTATAAATATTAAAACCCAATTTTTTTTATTAATTTATGGATTAAAAAAAGAGTTGTTATATATATAAAAAGATTATTGAGTCTTGGACTGGGCGGCCCATCGTTTAATTAGAATGGGTGAAAGAATATTGTGTTTGGGCCTTTGTTTGTTTTTTTTTTGGATAAGTATGGGCCTTTGTTTTATCCTTCGGTTGGTGTTGTTTTTCTTCCACCTTTCTAGGTTCAAAAACAAAAAGACCCACACAAAAACGGAACGTTGCCGGGGATCGTACCCTCGTCAATCGCGTGACAGGCGGGAATAAAAATGAGCTGACCCTTATTCTCATATGTAATAGAATAAGAGAGATGTAGGATAGTAGACTGCCCCCAACGCCAAATTGAGAACATTTTCCGTGAAGACCTCCAAATTATGAATTACCCCCGTGAGACTCGATCCTACGACCCCAAGATTAAGAGCCTTGTGCTCTACCTACTATACTAAAACGACTAATAAGGGATGACAAGATAAGATATTTTATTTGTAATTATAGAATTCGATTCATTTTAAAACTAGTAAAATTCCTTATTCGAACTTTTCTAGTCAAGAAAACGCAAACAGAGATCCATTTTTATAATTTAAATCTTACTTTAAAATAAAAGGATCAAATTCGAAGTAGTTAAAATAGGGGTTTCAAACCCACAAGTACAATAATATAACATAAAATAATCTCTCAAGAAGTTGGATTATAAGGGTAATTTACAACCAAAAAAATGAAAATGTGCTTCCCGACAGTGGAATGGCATTCAAGCAATGAATGGTCCAGGCAGGAATCGTGTCCTCCGGCTGAGATACTCAGCGTATTTCATTCTCCTGGTTGTGATGGAGTAGGAGAAGACGGTGGCTTCAGATCCGGATACTGCACAGCAATGAGGGTAAGTGACGGTAAAATCTATTAATGTACAGTTTAGAATGGATATGTAAATTAGTCTTCGAAACATACACCCTTTAGCAGTTTAGGATAAGGAGAAGAGGACCTGTGAATGTCGAACATACGTATGTGTCTAACACGAATGTGTTCATTTGGAGGAAAGATAATATGTAGAAAAACAGAGAAATCGTACGTTAGGGTAAGGTGAAGAGGACCCAGAATGAACTTTTGCATGTGGAATGGATTCGGTAACTTCATGATCCGTCGTTTGGCTTTCCATTACAGGAGCATTTGTTGGAGAGGAACCATCTTTCTTATCCTCGACTTGATTAACTGCTCCATTTGCTCCAAAACCTTGAGAAATTTTGACCTTCTTCTTCTTGCGCTTAATATGTACAGAAGGTGGCAAAAGGGTCTCCTGTATAGCCTGCAAGAAACGAAAATTTCATAACACAAGCAATCTATATTTATAATATATTATCCGGACTCAAATACAAGTGTTCGATACAGATACAAGTCCAACTTGCGTATCTGCTGACAAAGATTTGAAATGTCATGTCCATTCCGTTACTAATGTTCTCACATGCATCAAAAAACGATATTTCAGGGGAAAAAAGTCAGAATAAACATTATATTATACTAACAGCAGATAAACAACAAACTAGATATTCATTATGGATTTCTAGACACAAAGGTACAACACTAACTCAGATTTAATCAAAGTTAGAACTCAACATTTTTACCATTTAACTACGAAATAGATGTAAATGTTCTTGAATCTTCATCTTTCTTGAAGTATCCATCTCTTGCACATATCCAATACAGGTAGACGGATAAGATTTCCTTGGATTTTCCATTACATGGAAATATTTTTAAAAAGTAGAGCATGCTCATTTCAAACACGTACTAGTACGAACACTTGCATCCGAGCTCACATGCATGAACAATTGGTAAATCTTAGACCTGAGAATGAAGGTCAACACTAATCATATTAGATCAATAGCTAAAATCTACCAAAAAGTTACAAGTATAATACAAACTTGTACTCCATATTTCATGACTGTTTTGAAGCATCCTAAACCGATATTGTTAAAGCATAAGCCTTATTCACTTGTATTTATTTCCAAGGTTAACAGTCTCCAGTTTCGCTGTCTCGGTTCGCTAATCCTTGAATTAGATCGTTGAACTACGGTCGAATGACAAAAGTATGAGCCATCAAGAGCAAGAATGCATCTGCGACTACTCTACAAATCCCGGTGGATATACTATGCAATTATCTTCCATCCCCAAATAAGCATTTTAACAATTTCATGTAACAAATATGAAAATGTTGCTTCACTCCCCAAACTCTCAGTTGAGCCTTTCTACTTATCGACTTCGCTGAGTGTAAGAGATGATTCCCTAAAGCTAACCAACAGGTGACATGCTCGAAAACATGAAACATACTTAAAGAAATTAAACCAGAAACACTTACATGAAATCGAACAACTCTAAATTCACCATTTACTAAGAAACATAGAGACTTACTAGCCATCCTTTCTTGCCCATGACTCCATCCTTGATTGCATAAACCTCCTTAAAGCCTTTCTTATACAATAACTCGGCTGCTTTCAAGGAATTACCATCAAAACTACCTTACATAAAAAACAAGACAAAACAACTATGCAATTATGAAATAGTTCCAAAAACAAAACAATCCAATCAAGACCTGAAACGTAAGTTCCGACAAGGCTTACTTGTCAAGCACACAGATAACGGTATTTGCAGGGTTTGGGAACTTCTCCAGCACTTCCTTCACGAACCCATCCTCGTCTTCAACACTAAACTGGAGTTGAACCGTTCCCTTGTTCAAAGAACTCAAATCAGGGGAACCCAAAGAAGCTAGAGTCCTGTTCTCTCTAATATCCAAAAGTTGTGCATTCGGGTCATCGCGTAGCTTCCTAAACGCATCAATGGCGGGCACAAACTTGCATTTGCTCAAGTTCTGTCTAATTAAAGGTACAACAACGAGCCAGATTAAAGTGCAGCCAGCAACGAAGAATGGGTTTTTGTTAAAAAATTCATCGACCGAAACCAACACTGCTTCGAGGTTTACTTTGCCTGGCTCGGTTGGAGATATGACTGTTTCGGCGGCGGCGAGGCAAGGGAAGGAAGCAAATAGGTTGGTTAAGGTGAAGGAAACATGGGTTTTGGCTACGGTTTGTAAAAGAGGAGAGTTTTGAAGGGATAAGAGAGGGTTTATGGAGGGAAGAAAGGGTGAGGGAGAGGTTGGTTTAATGGCGTGAGGTTTGGTTTGTTTAGAAACGGGGTTTGGAGAGATTGATTTGAGGGTTTTGGGGTGGTTTGGGAAGGGTGGAGAAGATAAAGGGATCATAGAAAGAGACTCCATTAAATGACTGTCGAGGGAAGAGCGGGGAAGGAGAAGATGATAAGAGTGCAAGTGATTGGGCCGACGGGGCATTTGTGGTCAACTGCGTGCTGTTGAGATCGGTTTGGTTTCACTAAAATGACCCTTGAAATTTGTATATTTTTACTTTCTTAAAAATATTTTTTAGTTTAAGATATATACCATACAAACGTAATTACTTGACATTTTTTTTACAAAATTTTTAATTATTCTTTTAACTATTAATATTGTTTATATAAATTTTATAAAAATGATCGATCAAGCACGAAAAAATTTACTCAATTGGTTCAAAGAAACGTTTTTATTTCTAGAAGTCACAAGTTTGAATATCAACAGTTACAATAGGGTGAGTGAACGTTCATTGTCAAATGATTAAGACTATTTGATACAAATAATACTTTATAATCACCTTAATTTAATAAAAAAAATATCGATCAAAGTCTTTCATAAATATAGATGTTATCCGTCTCAATGTTACATCCTTCAAATATTAAATCATAAAATAAAATATATTTAAAAATATATATCAATTGATAAAAACGGAAATGAATTTTCTTTTGTTTGTATGGATTTTCATGAACACAAAATTCCATGATCATAATATTAAATTTTGCTAGAATTGTGAATAAAAGAATGATAATATTTTTATATCATCTTAAATAGCATATATAACCCCAACCAAATAGACCCCACTCTATCAGACTTTAAAATATAATATAAATAAATGAAAATATATTATTTTATAAGAATATGCATTACTATTAGATAAGTGATAATAATTTTATAACCAAAATGATAATTCAATTACACAAAAATATAATAATCGGTGTACCTAAATAATTTAGATATATATATATATATATATATATATATATATATATATATATATATATATATATATATATATATATATATATCATTTTAATACAGGTATTTATCATTCGAGTTGTTCTCAAGATATTTTTCTTCGCAATTCAGTTATAAAACAATAAACAGCAACAACAAAGATGATCCGCAGACAAAAGGCTACCTACTCACATGCATCCCTAATAACAAGCAAATAGCATGAAGCAAAAGAACAAAAATGAACTCGAAAAATACACTCAAAATTCAAATGCTGAATCCAATAAGAGCATGTTCCTAATCCTCAGCACCATCGATTTCAGCAGCTTAATCATTAATCATCGGAATCATCATCGTCAGCTCCAGCAGCTGAATTCAGGGCTTTCAACCTATCAATCAGCTTCCCCTTCCGTTCCTCACAAGTCAGCTTCTTCAGGTTGTACCTGTTGAATCAGAATGTTAAAAAATATTTATGTGAGAACATGTAATGAACAATATCGAGTTTTCTTTCATGCTTCTCCATAAATGTATTTGCGGTGAACTTCGGGATGAAGTTGTTTACTATCCTTGTTAAATCCAGAAAACCTCTTCTTGCTGTGGGGAATATCAATTCCACCATCCAAAGCACCCTATAAAAGAAAACATAAAGGCCACATGTTTGACAACCAAATGAATAGAAAATACAAGTAGAAGATTGACAAGCTAAAAGATAATATATTCAAGAATCTTTTTCAATTCCAGAAGTTAAAACATTAACCTAAATGAAAGCCCATGCTTAAATATAGAAACATGTCTGCATGAATGATGATGAAAATTATCAGTGCACCGCAAACTCAACTAACAAGCATGATTATATCTGGCAATTCATGCATCTGTTGTTTATGTATATTCCCTGATCATAATCATGTGTAACATAAATTATTCTTTTTATAACTTTCAACAGGTTAAGATTGTGTTAAATATCATTATTTTAATGACTTCCCATAAACATTGATGCCATATACTTGTATCATGTCCAGAATTGAATCGATAGCTTTAATTAAGATGTAGAATAAAACCAATGAATAAGGTCTAACTCAAGACAATTATATGGGAAGGTGTCTATACCTTGAGAACACCAAAAACACGGTTTCCAGTAGTAGTTTTGACAATACCAACATCAAGGAGAGCACGGAAAGGCCTTCTGGTCTCTGCCGGCTCAACAGTGTAGTCCTCCCCAGTTGCCTGTGAGCAAACACCATACATTACTTACAGATGCTTATCATATATCTAAACAAAAGATTTGGAACAGCACATATTTCTTCCAACTTTATCCAAGCCACATACCTACCTCAACATTTCCCTCGTATTCTGCATCCATCTCCAGCTGCTTCAGTGTTCGGCGAGCCAAGAGGAGTCCAACACAATAGTATTTGTTCAAAAGCATCATTAAGTCAGTATCCTCAATCAGGTGCAAAAAGAATTTTAATGTTTATACGAAAAAAATTTCACACCGGCGGCATAATTTGTAAGGCCAACTTCAATTCCATAGCGAGGAAGTTTATGAGCTTAAGCTGCTGCAAGAACCATATCACCAGAAATACTAGCATGGACGATTTGGGCAACTATATCCTTGTTGGTCTAATATATGGTTAAGCTAGAACATTAATCAGCAGCCCAAAAATGTTCAAAAACAAAATAGGTCAGGGATAATAATTAAACCAAGGGGAAAAAGTCCCGTCAGTAAATTATAAGGATACAAATTGTGCAAAAAAACAATATTTTGGGATGTGATACTTGTTCTTATCCTGATTGATAAGACGGTTCCTGGCCCAGTAGTCAGTCTTGCCCTCTACAATATTAAAAATTGTTAAAACCTGCATAACAAGTAATAGAATTTCATAACACTATTTCAGGTATAGGTACTGGTATCATATCTCTCCTTCTCTTGAACTTAACTTGAAATCGCTTGAAGTACGCCTTAGATTTTTGGAGCTTTCACGTAAGCCTATGCCATAAAACTAACCAAATTACAAAAACTCGGCAGTGTAGAATCATTTCAAACACAAATAAACCTAAAAATTTGTTTAAGTATTATGGTACTTACTCGGATGTGAGAATTAGCAATGGATATATTCAATTTTCTTCTTCTCTGTTTTCAGGGGATCCTTCTAGGGTTATACCCCCATTTCAGTGTCTAAATATAGATCAAACGCGAGTACTTCATGAAAGATAAAGAGCTGATGAAACATAAGTTCACCACTCAAGTTTCAACCTTTTCACATTTTTTTTAAAAATGTACTATGTCAGAACTTACTGCCATAATTTTTCAGCTTTAAAATGATAATAATATTAATGAGTAGGCAATGTCTTCTTCTATATACACATTAACTTTCATTTCTCTTCCGGAAACAAAAAATTAGCAAAACTAAGAACCATAATTTTGTAAACAAACTTGATTTATCGTTTCTTGCTTCGATTCTAGGATCAATTGACTTTTTTCAAACAATATCGTAACTACGTAATAACATACATCCACTATTTCATTTTTCATGAACAAAACAGGGATCTGACATTGAAATCTGTTTCAAAAACATTATACAAATCGGATTCGCAGTCGAAATAAGAGATGCTAATTTTCCAAAAATAGATGATAAAAATAGAGAAATTTATAAACGAAAAACATCGTCAGTAGATAGATTTACCATGGCTTTGAGCACAGTAGTTTGCAGCTCCGAGAGAGTGTGAAAACAAACGAGAGCTAAAGCCTACGGGAAAACCCTAATCATGCGTTTTATAGTCAACGGTGATGATTGATTTCATTAAGATGTGTTGCATTGCAAACTAATTAGCCCACTTAATCTTGGGCTGGTGCAAAGAGTCCAAATAACTATCTGTTCTTTCTATTTATTTATTTCTTAATCTTAATAAATTTTGATCTCACATTTTGTTTATGATTTTTTTAATTTTTTTTAATATATAAATAAAAAATAATTGTAGAGTTTATGATAATTAATAGATCTTTCAATTTAACCTAATTATTATTTTTTATAGGTATAATGTTAAAAATATCTCAAATGTTTGACTAGTAGGCATTTTATTCTCGATTTTTTAGTATTTTGGTCCCTAGAGTTTTATTTTGAATTAAAAACTCCTACATGGATGGAAACCATTAGTTAACGAACGATTGACACTCTAAAATAGATAACTTTTTTTATCTCAAAATAAAACATTGAGCGTAAAAAATGCTTTAGAAAAAAAAAAGATCAATATGACAATTCTATCAAACGTCAGGGATCATTTTACCCTAAAATAAACAAATAATGGTCAAAATACTAAAAAAAAGGTAAAATAATCACTTTGCTAAATTTTATGAGAATATTTTTAGCATTATGCCTTCTTTGTGTACTTTATTATTTCTCCGTTTATAAGGATATTGGTTTTGGAGTTCCTTTAATTAAGTTGGGGGAGATAATTAAAGATATAAGATTATATTTTTTAATAGTTTATGATGATTACAATATAATATTTATTTTTAATTTTTATTTATCATTGACATCATGTCCGACATAACAAAAATTTGGATACCAGGTGTTAATTTTTATTTATTTAAAAAGTGTCATCCCCTTAGTACCGTTAAAAATAAAATTGTGATATTTTTTCAAATTGTGGGTGCCGAGATTTTGGGATTATGTGACTATCACATGCCACATTTGTAAATGGACTAATTTAGTTGACATCATACACACACCTTATAAACACAACTCTTCCAACTTATACTCTCAAAGATCCCTAACATTTGATTCATAGTCATTAAAAGTAAGAATTAGTTTATAACCAACCATTACTTGCATAAGAACTAGTTTTTTTTTTAATTTTAAGCAAGACAAATCCAAAACTATATGTTTTAAAAAAATTGAAATATGGCCATGGGATTTGAACTAAACCTAATCATTATTGGAACCAATTTGTCGTTTTGTACTCTCCTTTGTCCCTACGTTTAAATAAAGGCGAACGGGAAAAAAAACAAAATTTAGAAGTCAGATATTTTGCGAGGTATATATATATATATATATTTTTGGACATAATAATTTGCAATTGGGTAAATTTACATTTTGCCACTTTAATTTATTTTAAAGTTTAATTTAATATATAATCAATTAGATGTTTGAATTTAGTTTCAAAACTTAATTGCAATTTTTCCAATTAAGTACCTAAATT